ACCCAGCCTGGTTTTCACTGCTGATATTGAGCTTCTCCACTGAGTCTTTCCACAAATGTAATCTATCTGATTCCTATGCATACCATCAGAACCAATTAAAAAGAGCATGGTTTTAAGGTGCTGAAGCTGAAAACCACATTTTTGTTTCTTCCATAAAGATACATTATCAGTCTAAGCACTCAAATAGATACTCCCTAACTTTAAGTACACAAGTGTATCTTTCTTGGCTCCAAGTCTGTAACTTGCCCTACCTTGGAAACTTATACAAGGCAATGAAATATTTCAATGACTTTAGAGCATTCTACATAAAAAGGGGAGAAGACCATTCAATGGAACATTATTCAGTGATAAAAATAAAATACTAAGCAGGAGTGGTATCCACTTCCTAAATAACATGCCTCTGGAAATCCTATGAACTTTGAGAAATAACAACAGTTATAGAAAGGTCTCAGGTCTTTTGTTCATAGGGTCGCTAAGAGTTGTGCTTGACTCAACGGCAATCAACAACATATACTTCTATGTGAATGAATTTCAAAATCATACTAAGTGAAAGAAGATCCATGAAATACAAATGAAATACTACTAAGCAACAGAGAAAAAAGGAAGTACTAATATGAAGTAATACCAAGTATATATTAGGGGGCTCTGGTGACCTAGTGGTAAGGAGCTGTATTGTCAACCCAAGGTTACACAGATTGAGTCTACCAGCAGCTTCACAGGACAAAGGCCTTTGAAAACTGGCTGGAGGGTCAACTCTGAGTTGGTTCCAACTTAACAGTACCTAACAATAACACATGAATGAATCTGAAAGTCATTAAGCTAAGTGAAAGACCATCTACATGAGATGCCATGGGGTGGGGGCAGGAGGGGTGTGTGAAAGCTACAGACACAGAAAGCAGTTGCCAGGGTCTGGGTAGGAACTGGGAGTAACTGGAGATTTAAGACAAAATCAGAATAGCTATCTCACTGCTGTCAAGTCAGTTCTGACTCAAACTTGACCCTAATGGCTTGCTAAAGTTATATACTACACAGAAGAAGGTTGTTCATCTTTCTAACCATGGAGCAGTTGGTGATTCAAGGCACCAGATATGTTCAGCCTTTGGGGAAACAGTGCAACTTTCTGTGGATTATACCACTATAGGCACCCTAGAGATAAAAGTTAAGGTAATGGAAGTATTCTTAAATGGATTTGTACTGAAGGCTGCAGAACTCTGTCATATTAGGGAAAAATCTTTGAACTATACACTTAAAATGGATGAATTTCACAGTAAGTAAAAAAAGTCCTTTGAGAGGGAATTAAAAAATGGCCAAGAGTCACTTAAAAAATGCTACAGATTTCCAGTTTTTTACAACACTACTGAAACGTTACCAAAGGGTTATCTTGTCCTTCTACAACTCAATGGTCAGTTACTAAAGTGGCTTTGTTGTTGTTGATTGCCGTCGAGTGGAGCACGAATCATAGCGACCCTATGAACAAAAGACCTGAAACCTTTCTACAACTATAATCATTTCTCAAAATTCTTAAGGAGTTTCCGGAGCTCTGGTGGCCTAGTGGTAAGAAGTTGCACTGCAATCCCAGAGATATGCAGTTCAAATCCACCAGATACTCTCCCTGAGAAGGAAGGGCCATCTCCTCCTGTACCAGTTGGATCCAATTTGACGGTATACACACACACACACAATAATAAAATTTAAGAAAAAAAATTCATAGAGTTTCCAAAGGCATGCTGTTTAGGAAGTGGATGCCACACCTGCATCATATATAACTTCAGTGAAAAAAGTATGTTAAGTCATTTCTAACTCATATTGCTGTTGTTAGGTGTCATCAAGTCAAATAAAACCCACAGTGACCCTATGAACAAAAGATCTGAACCCTGTCCTAACTTGTGCCATCCTCACACTTCCTGACAGACCGTGATACACTGTGGCAGGCACTGTGTCAATCCGACTTGTTGAGGGTCTTCCTTGCCTTTGCCAACCCTCAGCTTTTCAAGCATTATGTCCCTTCTCCAAGGAATAGGCTCTCCTAGCAGCATGCCTTAAGTATGTGAGGTGAAGTTTTATCATCTTTGCATTTGAGAAGCAACCTGCCTACACTTTCTCCAAGACGTTCTTTTGGCAGTCCATGGGATGTTCAGTACTATTCTCCAATATCACAGCTCAGAGGCCTCAATTCTTCTGTCATCCTTATTCACTGCCCATCTCTCAGGTCCACAGCAAGTGGTCAGAAAGATCATGACTTGAATCAGAAGCACTTTAGTCCTCAAACTGATATCATTACACCTCAATAATTTGGAAAGGTCCCTAACTGCACTTTCCCTGTGTAATACATCTGATTACCTGACTGCTGGTACCAAGGGTGTTGACTGCAGATTCAAGGAAGGTGAACTTGTTAACCGTTTCAATCTTTTCTCAATTTATCAAGATATTCCTTATTGGTCTAATGGTAAGAATTTTTGTTTTCTTTGACATGTAGATGCAATCCATATTGAAGGCTGTATTCTTTGATCTTTTCCAACGAGTGCTTCAAGTCCTCCTCACTTTCAGCAAGCAAGATTGTCTCATCTGTATAACACAGCCTGTTGATGAGTCTTCCTTTGATCTTGAGGCTGCATTCTTCTTCAGAGTCCAGCTTCTTGAATAATTTGCTAAGCATACAGACTGAATAGGTATGAAGAAGGTATACAACCCTGACACACTTCTTTCTTAATTTTAAACCATGTAGTATTCTTTGCTCTGACTGTACAAGAGCCTCTTGGCTAATAGCAATCTCATATATTACAAAGCACTGATTAATCCTGCCTGAGAACAATATAATAAATGGTGGCTGCTGCTTCTTGTTTTTGTTAGGTTCCACTGAATTGAGTATGACTCACAGCAACTCTATGAACAAAAGATCTGAACTGTGTCTGAACCAGTGCCATCCTTACAACCTCTAACATATGTGAGCCTATTGCTGCAGTCACTGAGTCGATCCATTTAGTTAGGGGTCTTCCTATCTTCCGTCATCCTAAACATGATGATCCTTTCCAAGGATCAGCCTCTCCCAACAATATGCCCTAAGTAAGTGTGTGAGATGAAGCTTTACCCTTCCATTTTTGCTAAGGGATACAGAATTGTGCTGCAGACACCAAGGTATGCGGTTTGACTCCACCAGCTGTTACAGGGAATAAAGGTGAGCAATATCCTCCCAAGCAATTTACTGCCTCTGAAAACCGGCTACAGGGTTTCCAACTCGAAGGTACACAACAGCAACAATAACATATGGTCACAAAATACTATGTAATTATTACCATTTAACAACTACCTCATGAGAACATCTACAATAATGTCAAGTCACATAAGTGACCTAAAGTTTACAGGAGACTGGCAGCTAAGCAGGGAACACTGACGGTGTAATCCATAGGGGACCATGCTGTTAACCCCATGGGCGTGACTCTCTGGTGGCTGAAATCTACCAGCTGCTCTGCAGGGGAAATATCCGCAATCTTCTCTCATGTGATTTACAGTCTTTGAAAACCCACTGGAGCTGTGAGACGGTTCTGACTTAACAACACTGACAGAGCTTCTAAATTATTGATGTTTTCTTTTGGATAATATTTTTCTATTCATTTGGGACAAAAAAGAGAAACACATTACTTTCATATTTTTAGAAGCTGCTCCTCTGTCTCTCCAACTGAGGTGTGTCAGGAAGTAGGAGAACAAAAAACAGAAAAAAAAATCTCCTCCTCCTGGATTTCCAGGTGTGGACACTGAGACCCATCAGTGAAGGGACCTATAAGTCAAGAGTAGGAACACTGGGAAATGAGGCAGAAAGCCATTAAACTGCAATGCTTGTTCACAGCTTTCAAAAAGAGGGGGAAAAACCCACTTAAAATAAACCTGTGTACAACAGAGAGGCTTTTAAAACAAACAAATCCAACCTTTCGAGTTAATGAAGTTAAAAGTTCACTTGCTAACTGAGAAGCAGTATAAAAGTCCTGTTTTTCAGGGTTTTAAATAAATTCTCTCATCCTTATTTATTGTCAAGCTTGAATAAGGATGAGAGAAGAAGAACTGATGCCTTTGAGCTGGAGAAGTGTATGAACATCCCCCTGGACTGCCAAAAGGACAAACAAATACGTCTGGAGAAAGTGCAGCCAGAGTGCTCCTTGGAGGCGAAAGATTATGAATCTTCACCTCAGATACTCTGGGCATGTTGCTAGCAGAGGCTACTCCTTGGAGAGGGACATTATGCTTGGCAAGGCGCAAGGTCAGCAAGAGAGAGGAAGACCTTCAACCAGGTGGAATTACATGGTGACAGCAGCAATGGGTTCTAGACTGTCAGGAAGTGTGAGGATGGCACAGGACAGGACAGGGTTCAGATCTGATGTTTGTAGGGTCATTATGGTTCGCACTCAGCAACAACCAATAACAGTAAATTTCTCACCCACTCTCAAAAAAGCTAATATTCTAGACAGGCTTTAGTACAGACAGCTCTGTCTCACCACTTGGTCCAGGTCCCCTGTAAAGGCAATTAAAGAACCTGCCATGCTTTTATTAGTGAGCTAATAAAACAACTTCATTCACGGTGAGCTAGAACCAACTCACGGCTGACCCTTCACTGGGCTCCTGGAGGCTGTAAATTGGACCAGAAGAGACTGTCCATCTCTCTCCCTCAGTCACTGGTGGATCTAAACCACCAGGACGACATGGCCTTTGGCTTAGCACACAACTACCTGTGGAGCAGGCCCTCAAAACTCCGTCATTAGTAAGACCCTCACAGTGAACAGATACAAACCTCATGGTGCTCACAATGCACAATGATGACAACACTTTAAAATGAAAGAAGCTCTACACTAGTCTCCGTTGAACAGTGGGCTCTACACTAGTCTCAGTGGGCCAGACTTTAATTTCTAAAAACTCTAATGAGCTAAGCTGTTTTTCATGTTTTAGAAATCAAAATATGAAATAAGCACCATTAAATAATTACAGCTTGAAAGACCATCAGGCCAAATCAAATCAACACTTGAGTTGGCATTTGAATAGTCAGAAGATCTCTATGTGACTGACGGGTGCACCTTTGACAGGGATGCCAATGCCTATGGCCTACTGTCTCTGCAACGTACCTATCATGTCTACTCTTCTTGGCAGATAAATCATCCCCAGACGCAGGTCTTCGCTTTTTCCTCGGTGGCATCACTTTACTGAAGCAGTCTGAAGAACTGCAAGACCGCAGACTTCCTGTCAAACAGTCAGAGCGCACGCAATTAAAGGATGCATATGAAAATACCTCCAAAGAGTATTACTACATTTAAAACATACATGGCTTAATGTTAGTTATTATATTACCTGTAAGATCTATAAAGTGAGAAACTAGTTTTCAGTTCTTTGAGATAAAGCTATAGTCAAGAAATAAACCTAGCAGTGACATAACTTAATATTTTCTCTCTAAAATCACACCAAAAATAGAAGTTATCAGAAGTCCAGCTGACTTTCCAAAAATCTTAATATAAATCCTCTAAGCTTTCAGCTTCTCTTACGTGTCAATGTTCCTTCAAATGGAATGGCATTGGTATCTCATTTCTGCACCTCTGGTACTGGCTGGCTAAAGCAGTAACCTTGAGTCAAAAATACATACAAGCAAAAGAAAAAAAACCAACCCACTTATTACATGCATATCAGTCTCTGCTCTATGAAGCTTCAAGAGAGAATTGTTAAAAAACAAGATTTCCATGTTTTAAGGAGGTTTTTTCTGGTTAGAAGTTGCTTGTTGAGACATTGAACAAAATTTCTCCAATGCATTTTAATTTGTCTCTGCCACCTGAGGAAGATTCTGCTACTTCCAGATGAGAAACTTTCATGTGGAAGAGACATTAAACTATAGCTGATAAATTATTAGATTATATAAAGTCATAATAATAGTTAACACTTTTGGAGACATTGTCCTGAATCCTTAAGTGTATTAGTTCACTTGACTTCCCAATCGCTTGTGGAAAAAGAAACCAACATTATTGTCTTTCACTGAAGAGAAAATAGAAGCAGAGTAAGTGACAAAACTAAAGTTTACAACCCAAACACTCTCACTTCAGACTCCCTCAAACTATGACATAATTACAAAACCACTACACACGCATTAGGATGCCACATCTTCATACAAGTGCTGCTAGATACATCATCCCAATGGCTCCAACACGAACTCTGACCAGCAGGCAAGGTAGGAATAATTTTGTATTTGGCATCTGAGGGCCTTTCCAACATCTCAGAGATGTGAAGAGATGAGCCCTGGACTTGGGTTTCTCTTTGTTGAAAGTCCTGGATGCTCACTGAGGCACAGACAGGACGGTGAAGGGCCGACGGGGTCTGAATGCTCTGCAATGACTTCGAGCTCTTCACCAATATGCTTTGGCTAATCCCTGACCATTTCTGGATCTCTGCCTCATGATCTGAAGATGGGTAACTGTGGCACCTACTTCTCAGGAGTAAGTGAATGTTTTAAAAGGAAAAACATCCATTTAGTAAGTGCTTAAGGGTTATGCATTATGGTTAGGTATTGGGAACACAAAGGAGCATGCTACCAACCAGTGCTGTAACGCAGGCATGCATGCCAGGCTCATGTCTGACCTCCATGCTTGCTCAAGTCTCATAACCCTCTGACACAAGTATTGTTACTCTCCCCATTTTGTCAAATGCAGAAACTGAAGCAGAGAAGAGATTATGTACTGGAAAGCAGCACATGCAGCCAGGATTCAAAACAAACAGCTCAGCAGCAGAAACTATGTTCTCAGCTTCTATCTGCAGAAGTTTTTACTACTTGAGGCCATAAAAGTACTTATGACTGAGCAGCAGAAACTAGGGACAGAGCCCAATGAGCCATCAATAAGCAAGTGGCTGGGAAAAGGAGAAACAGGAAGAAAAGCTAAGAAAGAGTGGGGCACTGCAAAGGAGCAGCAAAGTGCTTCAAGGATGGAGGGGCCGACTGCTGCAAAGGATACACAGAGATAAACCAAGGAGTGAAGGAACATGCTCCATTCTGCATGAAGCACAATGGTGTTGGATCAGCGGGGGTTGAAGTGAGACTGCAACAAATGGGATGGATGTGAAGGAAGTGGATACAGTGAATGTGAAGAGCTCACTCAAGAAACCAGCTTAGCAACGGAGGGAGGGAGCGCTCCACAGCTAACTCAGGACAGGAACACAAACGCTCATTCATTTGGAGCTATTTATTACTGTATGAGTTCTAGTGAGATGTGCTTCAGGAATGTATCAGTTCTTAATCAGGCCTACAGGGGAAACAAACAGTCCATGCACCTGATTGTAAACTAAAAGGTTGGTGATTTGAGTCCTTCAGAGGTATCTTGGAAGAAAGGTTCATGATCTTCTAAATAATTAGTCAATAAAAAATCAGAGTACAGCTTTACTTTGACAACACCGTGGCAACCATAAATCTTTATAGCCTAAATCAGGTTTTTCTACTTGGTGCCTGAAATTGGGTAAACTCTGGAGAATCCTGTTTGCCACTTCACCAGACTCCAAACTGGCAATCTCCAATAGGCAAATACTCTCCAGTATTTACCCGGGGCCCAGCCTGATCCTGACTGTCAAGGGGTGGGAACAGAGCGTTCTTCAGGAGCCCAAGGCACACCTATAGCTCACTCCTGACTACAGCAGAGTAAACGGGAAGACAGAAAGTGCTGTGTCTTAGCACAAACAACCTATTCATCTTTCTTCGACGTTGAGAGTTCCACTTACCAAGAGCACTGAACATATTTAAAAGGTACAAAGAATCACACAGTGTCAAGTTGTTGTTGTTGTTGTTATGTGCCGTTGAGTCGCCTGCGACTCATAGCGACCCTATGTACAACAGTCCTAAACTCCGCTCTGTCCTGTGCCAATCGCACTGTCTCTGACACTCCCATCCCAATTATCCCAGTCACTGAATCAATCCACCTCATAGAGGGCCTTCCTCTCCTGCGCCATCCCTCCACCCTCCCAAGCATGATGTCCCTCTCCAAGGACCGGTCTCTCCTCACTACATGTCCAAAGTAAGTTAGACGGAGCCTCAGAATCCTTGCCTCCAAGGAGCCACCCAGTTTAACCCTTTCCAGGACAAATCTGTTTGTTTTCCTAGCAGTCCATGGTATTCTCAGTACTCTTCTCCAGCACCACAGCTCAAAGGCATCAGTTCTCCTTCTATCCTCCTTGGTCATTGTCCAACTCTCTGATGCATAACAGGTGATTGCGAAGACCATGGCCTGTATCAGACGTACCTTAGTCTCCAGAGAGACACCATTGCTCTTCAGCACTTTGGAGAGGTCCCTAACAGCAGACTTTCCCATGGCAATGCGCCTTTTAATTTCCTGGCTGCTGGTGCCAAGACTGTTGACTATGGAGCCAAGCAAACTAAAGCTGTGTACAATCTCAATCTCTTCACCATCCATCCTGATGCTGCCAATTGGTCCAGTGGTGAGAATCTTTGTCTTCTTGACATTGAGCCTCAATTCATATTGTAGGCTGCAGTCCTTGACACTCTGTAGCAGGCGCTTCAGGTCCTCCTCAGTTTCAGCAAGCACGGTTGTATCATCTGCATAACGCAGATTGTTGCTAAATCGTCCACCAATCCTGACCCCACATTTCTCCTCATAGAGCCCTGCCGGATAATCTGTTCTGCATATAAGTTGAAAAGGTATGGAGATAGGATGCATCCCTGGCGTACGCCCTTCCCAATTCTGAACCATGCAGTGTTCCCTTGCTCTGTTCTGACGACTGCCTCCTGGTCCAAGTATAAGTTTCGCATTAGAACGATCAAGTGTTCTGGGATTCCCATTCTTCTCAGAGTCAGCCACAGTTTCTTATGATCCACACAGTCAAATGCCTTTGCATAGTCAATGAAACACAGACATTCCTCTGGTATTCCCTGCTTTCAGCCAAGATCCATCTAACATCAGCTACAAAGTAGAGCATGAAAAAGGTTCTACTTGACACCTGCCTAATCAAGCCTTGAGGTGGGGCATGCAGAGCAAAAATGCATGTCCTGCCCTTCCTGGCTGTGAAGTCCAGTCCATCATACTGTTCAGAAAAGAGAAGGGCTGAGGCTGTCTGAAAACTTAAGGTTCGTTTTTCTTGTGAACGTGTGAAAGAACGACATTTTATTTCAATACTGGCCATGGTTTGGCTCTGGTATCTAATCTGATAGTAACTGTTCCCCTTCCACAAGTTTTGAAGAACAAAGGAACAAATGCACTTGTCTACAAACCTTCTGAAGGGTTATTTAAGGGTTGGTTCTGATTCAACGGCACACACAACAACAACAACAACGAAGACGACGCAGCATCTAGTCAATGACTCCAGTAACACTTTAAATTACTTCTTCATCAATAATGCCAACTCTAACCTGGATTCACTGATTTTTACTTGTCAACAGAAGCATGTATTTGATAAACATAAGTTAACTTACTTTTTCAGCTTCCTGTTATTTTTATTTATCTCTTCGCTCTGGTGACTCGTAAGGAGGTAAGGAGCTGAGCTGCTAACCCAAAGGTACATGGTTCAAATCCACCAGCTACTCCACAAGAAAAAAATGGTCACCTCCTCCTATGGGATTTACTGCCTCTGAAAACCCACTGGGGCCCCACTGGGGTCAGCTATAAGTTGGTTCTGACTGGACACGATGGTACGCAACAACTGGTGAATATGTTCTGCTAAAATTTTTACAAATCACATTCTACTGTCTCTGTGTAGAAATGAGGGAGCACTGCTAGTACAGTCCCTGCTAGGGAGCTTCACTACTGACCCAAAGCCTGTGATGCTCTGCCAGCCTGAATCCACCAGCTGCTCCAAGAAAAGAAGATGGGCAATCTTCTGCCCAGCAGAACAGAGCCTCTGGAAACCTCTGGGAGCTCAGTTATGAGTCTGTCTGACTAGAGGGCAGTGATTGTAAGTGAATAGAGAATTTACTCACATTTTCCACTCAAAAGTAACTGCTGTGCACAGCTGTCAGAAGTGACTCAGAGCTAACACGCTAGCAGGTTTTCAGAGGCACTGAATCGCTAAGAAACTAGAAGTCCAAGGTTCAGGTCTGTTGTTCACTGCAGTCAGCTTGAAGGTATCTAATAACAACAACTAATTTAAATATTGACAGTTGAAAACCACCAAGTACACAGATCAAAAACCTGGTGGTGGTGGTGGTGGTTATGCGACTCATAGCGACGCTGTGTACAAAAGTCCTGAACCCTGTTCTATCC